AATAACCCGTTGTTTATATTTTACAAGAGCACCCGATATCTTTATTTAATGAATTTCGCTACTATGTTATATTTATGGATGATTTTTCTCGCTTTACTTGGATTTACCCAATGTTACAAAATCAAATACATTCCTCTACTTTAAATATTTTAAAATCAAGGCTGAGAAACAATTTGGTGTACCACTACTTATCTTGTATTCTAATAATGGAAAAGAATATATGTTAACAACACCTTCAAATCCTTTTTTACTTCAACATGAAATTCAACATCAGCTCAATTGTTCCTATACCCCTCAATAAAACGGAATAATTGAGTGCAAACATCGACATATTATTGAGACTACTAGAACCTTGCTTCTTGATGCCAGTCTACACTACCATCTTCGGGTGTATGCAACTCTCATCTCCTACTACAAATAACCTCCCACCCTATGAACTCCTATATAAAATGGCTCCAAACTATAAGTTTCTTAAAGTCTTTGGTTTTCAATGCTATCTTTTATCTCCACCTCATCATCATCACAAACTTGCACCAAAAATAATGCAGTCTATTTTTCTTGGCTATGTTGCTACATCCACAGGATATATCTGCTTCAACCTAACCCCTGGCAAAGTCTGTGCCTCTATTCATGTCTTATTTCAAGAATTTTTTTTTCCATTTCACAAAATGCCTTCTATCGCTACTGTTTCATCTTCTCCTCCCAATCCTTCACAGCCTCTCCTCTTACTCTTATACCAAACAATCTACCTCATACTCCACTATCTTCAATTCCACATAATACATCAAACATTCTATCTTCTCATACTCATCAATCCTCTCCACCTCAATCAGTTTCCACCTCACCCTCTACAATTGGACCTACGCATTCCACTTCTTCCAACTCCACATCGTCAATACCTCAATGAAGAACTAAAGTTCATCCTATGCTTACAAGATTCCAAACTGAACACCTTAAACCTCGCTCTATCTTCAATCTTCTTCACTCCAGCAACACTCAAAAGGATCCCACCTGTTACACTTCAACCATTAAATTTCCTCATTGGGAAATGTTGGATGAATATCAAGCCCTACAAACACAAGGAACGTGGACACTTGTTCCTCTACCAATTCAAAATATTCTTGGCAGCAATGCACGATACCAGGCATGCTTTATAGTTCAACGATACAAACAAGAATATAGTTTAGATTTCAATGAAACATTTAGCCCGATGGCCAAATTTCAAATTATTCGAGTATTCTTGACAATTATTCTTCACAAAAATTGTCAAAACAACCAATTGGATGTCTCGAATTCCTTCCTTCATGGTAAGCTCTATGAAATAGTCTATATTGATCAACCTCAAGGCTTTAAAAGACTCCAATCAACCTACATATGTTTGAAAACTCAACAAGGCTATTTATGTCTTAAAGCAACCTTTGAGGCAGTGGTTTTCAACCTTCATAGATTATCTAATCCAATGGGGATTTACTGATGGGGACATCAGATCATGGAAGGTTTATCAGAGGCGTGGCCGCCGATCTACGGCCACGATTGAGTTGTATTTTTGATTTATTCTATGTATTCTCTTATTTTTGTTGTCGTATTTTATTTGCTTTATTTAGTTTCCCGTTGTACCCTTTTATTAAGGGATGTCGTATGTAAGCTAAACCTTTTCAAAATTAGTCTTTCATATTTTAGGTAACTCTATTCATGAGTAAATTCAAATCCATTTGAATTTAAAATAGTTACCTAAATTATAATCCTATTTTTGATAACTTCCTAATTCATATCCTATTTAAATTTCAAATTAAATTGGATGAAATCTTTCATTCCAAATTTAATTTCTTAATTTAAGTAAGCATTGAATGCCTCCACAATTCCCTCCTCCTACTCCCTATGCCGTCGGCCCCGTAGATATTTCCTTTGAAATTGTTTCCTGAAATCACTGCACCCTTTTGGAAACAATTCAAAACCCCTCCTTTTTTCTCTGGCTGAAATTCCGCTTGCTCCCCACCTCCTTAAATCTTTCCAAAACCACTCCTCCCAAGTTGGCATTAAGCCACCAGCTCCCCTCCCCTGCTGGCCGAAAGTTCCCAAGGCTTCTGTGCTATTTTTCCTCCACAAATCCGTCATAAACCCCATCCCACGTTGGGTTTCCTGCTCTACAAGACTGCTGCTAGAAAATTCCTGCAACCCTTCTTGGATCCTTATCAGCCTGAGGCTTTAAACTGCTGTCTAAAAGGGACAACTTGCTGTCCATCAGTTTCCGCTGGAGCCTTCTCACTGTAGCACCATCGGAGAAGTCTCTCCTTGTCATCCAGCACTTCCCAAAGTCAAAGCAGCGACTTCTCGCATGGATGGCTGACCCGGAGATGGACTATGGGATTGCTTACAACGAACAAGGATTCGTGCACATTCTCCATTCAACTTTCTTCGACGTCAACCTGAGAATCGACCATACGGTGGAAGACTACATAGAGCGTATCTTGGACACTTTGGTTGAAGATATTGAAGAATAATTGGAGGTCGTCGAGTGGAAGATTGCCACCGGTCCTTAGCGAAGGTTCTCTACTCTTCCTTATCTTGTGTGTCTTAAATCTAACATTTTCTAGTGAGCTGATTGTTGTCATGAAGGTCATGCTCCCCCGATTCTGCTAAGCTTAGTAAACGTAGGGATTTTGAGTGCATTCATTTGTTTACTGATCTTGTTGTTAGACTAGGAATTTTGTTGAGAACTACTAGTTGGCATAATGCTGTTTTCTACTTATTTTGAAGGTTCAAATCTTTTGGATATGTAACTTGGCCTAAACGAAAGTGACCCCTTTCACGTTTTGATTCGTGGTTTTAGTTGCTAAAAGTTTCTTTATTATTTCTCTAATCAAGAACTTGTGCAATTTCTTAATACAATCACTTGCAAGCATCGTAGTTCTACATCATTTACATTCAGCAGCTGATACATCACTGTTCATCTATACCAAATCATCCATATCAATCTAACTACTCATTTATGTGAATGATATTTTGCTTATGGGAAACTCTTCAAATATCATTTCTTGGCTTTTGCGAGATCTTCAACCGCAGTTTTCCTTACAAAAATCTAGGTCAAGTACACACTTTTCTTGGTTTGCAAGTCGAACATTTAGCAACTGGTCTCCTTCTACACCAATTCAACTATGCTAACTCCATTCTCGATAGAGCAAGAATGATTATGTGCATACCTTTACAAAATCTTGTTGCCAACAAACCAGACAATTCTCCAACTGCTTCGCTCCCGTTCATTGATCCTCAACTATATCATAGTCTTTCCAGTTCTCTACAGTATCTTACGATCACGCATCCAAATATCTCATTCGCGGTCAATCAGGTTTGTCAGCACATGCAAAACCCTCTAAATCATTATTTTCATATGCTTAAAAGGATTCTTCACTATCTTAATGGCACGCTTCATTTTGGATTACCCATTACATCCAGACAACTAAAACTCATTGCTTATGTGGATGCTAACTAGGCTGGTGATAAATAGGATAGGAATCAAAAAGTGAATTTTGTGTATTCCTCGGTTCAACCATTATAAGTTGGAGTGCTAAAAGCAAACAACGATAGCTCGATCCTCAACTGAATCTGAGTATAAAGCTCTATCTTCAATAGCAACATAAATTGTTTGGCTTAGAAGATTACTCAATGAGTTTGCATTTCTCTTGCCCAACCAACGTACACCTTTATATTGTTACAATATTTATACTCTATCACTTGCAAACAATCATGTGTTTCATGTCAGAACTAAGCACATTGAGATTGATCATCATTATATTCGTGAATGCATCAAATCTCAAACTATCATAGTTCATCACATAACCACCTTAGATCAAACTACTAACATCTTCACTAAAGGTCTTCCCAACAAAAGATTTCTTCTACTCAGAGACAAATACACTTTGTTCCCAAATCATTAATTTGAGGGAGACTAATAACAATATGATAGGTCAGCGCCTATCCAGCCGACCCCACCTGGGTTGGCCAAGGTCTAGAGGAGGCGGTTCAAACCGCCTCCTCTCTAACTGCCTAAGCCATAGGGACGTGGGCCCCTATTTAATTAAATAAAATATCTTATTTAAGTCAAGGGATTATTCTATTTAAATTAATCTATTTTGGGAAAGAATGTTTGAATTAATCTATTTTGGGAAAGGAGATTTGAATTAATTTATTTAAATTAATCTATTTTGGGAAAGGAGGCTTGGAATTAATCTATAAATAGGCATGAGAGGTGAGGGTTAGAGCATGCTTAAGTATTGTTTTCTCTTGGAGTCTCTTGGGAGTTTTGGGCTCTAGACCTAATGTCTAGAGATTGGGAGAGAACGATCCTCCTCTCAAATAGAGGATCTCTTGTATCTTTGTTTTATTCTTGTTTCTCTTTGATTGTGATAAGATTTGCTATCATTTGTTTGTTCTTCCACCACGATTCTTCCGTTTTCTCGCTATTTTTACTAATTATTGATTAGGTTTGCTTGCGAACTCAAGTAAATCCGATAGGATTACTTGCGAACTCAAGTATTTCCTATGACAGTAATACTACAAGCAGGAACACAAATGATGACAATACAATTTCCATAACAATGCCACCCCCTATGCACACAATCACTGGCAACAACAACAACTACCTCAACCGTCCGGTGCAAAAGTCTGCGACATTCATCTCAACCGTTCACTAATATACACTTATCTAATAGCTGACCTTATATCTGCTCTACCTCTCTATAATTTCTACAATTATAAATACTTCTACATGCATTATACTGAACAGGAAGAATAGATTAAAAAATGACTTAGCTCAATACGCTTTCCATACTCTGCTTTTGGTTCTTTATTCTGTTTTACTGTTCTGTATTTTATCTGAAGCATTTATCAAGACAGAAAGATGCAGGGATAAAGCACCACAAAGATTTCACAAGTAGTTTTTGAGTTTATAATGCTCACTAACACAAATTTTTGATGTTCTACCGTCTGGACATTCATGAAGGTGCCATAGATGGGATCTCTTAACATTAGCAAGCCGACTTATAAGTCTAAATAACAAGCATTATAAACTTGAAAAATCTTACAATCTTTTACACAGTAATGAATCGTGTACGATTTCTAAAAATAAGGCTAGTGAGACTTAACAACAAATCAAGAACTCTAAATACATACATCATAAAAGAAATAGAATGAATGGAGAAGAAGAGAATGGCAGTATGGAAGGAAAGAAAAACATGGATGCAGTTGAGGAAATCGCAGCCGTAAATGGGGAAAAGGAGATTACAGATTGTCCGGGATAGCCAGCTGCTGGGCGCCACTTATATGAAGCGAGGAGTTCTGGATGAAGATGACAAGGCCACACTTGACTGGGTTGAAGCCTTCCCAGAGTGTGAAGGTGATGGTGCCGGAGACTGACTTCTTCATGGAGATGTCCTTGACCGTCGCAAGCTTCTCAAGTCGGCGAACTATGTAGTCATTGGCGAGGAGACGGCCCTTATTCTCCCCCTTGTTGATGTTAATCACCACGCCACTCTGATACAGAGCAACCATCACATTGGCACCGGCGCTGTCAACTTTCGACCGTAATGGCCCACTCAGGGCAACCTGCAATGTCATTGGTGATGGCTTGCTGAAAGTTGCCTGCATGAGAGGTAGTCAAGTTACAACTCACTAGACTTAGGCTTCATTTGGTCATTTTGTATCTTTCCTAAAAGGTAGTTTTAAAGTTGTTGTTTGAGAGAAGTAGAGAACGGAGTTTTCTAACGGAGAAGTTAATATAAGAAAGCTTTTGAAAACAATACAAAAACGATATTCAGAACATGTTTATGAAAAGTAGTTTTATCAAACAAATAATTTTTTTTTGCTTTACCGTTGCCAGATAGAAAAAAAGTAAAAACGGACAAACAAATGAGCCCTTATATTCATAACGTGGTTTTCATTAAAAGTTTTAACTAGCCTTTGAAAAAGGAGTTAGCTTAATGCTTAGATCTTTCATAAGTTATTAACAGCCTAAGACAGAAGAAGTATATAGTCATAGGCATTATTTCTACAAGTAATTGTGCAATTGGATACCTCAACCAATTCATAATATTAGAGGAAAAAATATCAAAATGATGCATGGACTATCTATATGAGATCATTTTAATCTCAAACTAAACTCAATTTAATCCTTTAATTCTTCAAATTTATCCAAAATACTCCATTTGTTGTACTATGTTGAATTAAATGGGACCACTCTAAATTAAGCTTAAGAAGTTTAAAGACTAAATTGAGCATATTAAATCATTTTAACAATTTTCTTCATGATATGATCACGTTCTTTCATGCTAACAGCCAGATGGATAGCAGTACAATTGGCTTTTTGATGTCTCTATTTGATTTCCGTGAATTTATATTTTCCAGTCTCGTAAAACTCTTCATATTAAAGAATGACAAAGAATCTTTTATGCTTTATATGAATAGCTTATGCTTTCACATTTGTCTCCATCGTTCATTTAATAAAACCCTCTGTTACGGAAACATTCAAGAACATCATTACTTTTTTTTAGTGATCTAAGTTGAATATTTTAGCTTCTTATAACCTTAAAACATTAAGGCTTCGTTTGGGGCCACTATTTTCTTGTTTTCTAAAGTAACTTTTTAGTATAATTTTTTTTAATAAAAAATTTTATACTAAAAAGATGCTTTAGAAAGCAGTAAGAAATTTATCCTAAACAAAACTTAAATATCATGAAGTCATTAAAACTTTGTTATTGCCTTAATTATCAATATATCTTTCCTATCAGAGAAACCTCACAACCTCAGTCAATTTGCTCTCGCATGAAAAGCTTCAATAGAATGATAAGTGGTAAACACTTTCAAGAATACCATGCTTCTATCATGTTCTTTTTCCATCACATCCTTGAACATCGAAGGGAAAAAATCTCCTTGATCTATCCGGGGCATGTTGGGATAAAATGCAACAGAAAAGAAAACCAGGATTTAATATGAAAAAATTCAAAATTGAAATAAACCACGAAGCCACACCACACAAAGAAAACCACTATAAAAATTGAGAGAATTTATACATATCTCTTTCTCTCGTACTCTCTCATTATCTCTTCACTCTTTGCACACATGTTCTACACAAAATTGACAAAGAGATACTCATAACTTCCCCAAGGGATACAACCCTTCAACTTAAACATGAAAAAAGAGAAAAAAAAAAAACAGCTCAACCTGACTTGCAGTGTTGTAGCATTGGGGTTCGGAGCATTGTAGTGCTCCACTCTGTCTCAAGCCTAACCGTTTTTTTTTTAAATACCTCATAGCACGTGCCTCACTAATTTGAGGAGCGCGCATCTTTTTTTCCAATCGGAGTCTATAGCCTCAAAACACTTTGCATACATCTCTCTTTAAGGCATGCTTCAAGACACACAAACAAAATATTACATAATTTTAAACCATGGTGTCTAGAAGGGGAGTCTAGGAGACGATAATGATGCAGGGAGGGGTTATGTAGCTTGGAGGGAAGGGTGAAAGGAGCTTGGAAACTACGGATTGAATAATAGAGCAAGGCCATGAGCACCTAGTCTTGACTTTAATGGATGATAGTGATGGATGATGAGGGATTGCTATGGGAGGTTTGGGGAGATGTGGGTAGTAGAAATTACAGTGAGCATAACCCAAAAATAAAATAAAATCTGCACCTCCTCAAAAGAGCCAGCTGGTTGAAGGGAACCAAGCATTCAACTTCAATTCCAATTTATGTACTAAAAGATCTTCATAAATTTTTACTAACAATGATAAAATTATTTTAACCATTCAAGATCTTTACTTACAACCAGACAGCCCCTAAGCAATACATTTCCCCAAAACAGATCTAAAATGGAAGATAATATAATGGCCTTAAATGCACGACTAAAATTAACTCACTCATTGATGATTTTTGTGCTGTTAGTGTTAGAGCACTAGCGCAAGTCGATTCTTAGCTAAAGCATCATAAAAGAAGTGCAAGAGCAAGATTACACGGGAAAACTAGCAACACCTCAACGAGTTTGACGAAATGGAAGGAGGCCAATTGATATCAGAAAAGCAAGAGAGAAGGAGATCGGAGGCGAACCTGCATTGTGGGGGAGGGAAAGCGCGGTGCGGCGCAGACAGCGGCCGCAATTGAACCCTCCTCGTTGCCAAGACACTGATCACGGCCCTGGACGACGATCTGAGGCGTATAGAGCGTGTCAAGGCGCATCGACTCGACGTAGGCTTTCTGCCGCACGGTCCAGGCGCTGGATCCGAAGGGATCCTTCCAGCCGCGGTAGTCCCAATAATCGACGTGGAAGGCGAGTACTAGCACGGGGACGTCGACGATCTCCCCGAGGCCGAGCCGCGTGGCGATGTCTTCGGCATCCGTCGAGGTTCCACAACCCTGGGAAGAGAACAGCTCGACAACGACTGGACCGGCACGGCGTTGCTCCTCCGTCGCCGAGTCGGCGGTCGTTTTTCTCTCACTCGACGAGGAGCCCCGGCTGAAGCAGGCGAAGAGCCGCGGCGCCATTCTCCGACAAGAAGCCGATTAAATCCCCTTCCGTTTCCCTCCCACTCTCTCCGCCCTCCCTGGTTTCTGTTTCTAGCTGTGTTTCTATTTTGCTTCGCAGGCGGAGAGAAGAAACAGGGGTGGATATGTATAGAGTAGGTAAGCGGTGGGTGGAGAGGAGAAGAACGTGGCGAGAGAAACGGATTACCAGCTGGAAAGCGAGATGGCCTTTCGTCTCGACGGAGTCGGTGGCCGGAAGGACGCGTGGTAAGAGGTGATTCGTTGTTAAGTTCATCAACGGCGATGTGGTATTGCCGACTGAAGCAGGTGGTTGGTGAGCTGGATCGAATCTGTCGTAACTACGATGAATTACAAAAACGGCTAGAATTTTTACAATAATATCCCCAAAAAAGAGATTTTTTACAAAATGATAAGAGGAATTTTTATAAAAAAAAAATTGCAGGTAGAATATTGTCATAATTTATATGAGCTTGATTCTATATGGAAAATATATGATATTTAATATTTCAAAATACCCAATAGATATTAAAAAAATTTCTTTTAGAAATTTCTAGTAGTACTAGTGATTCTGATATTTTTTTCTTATCGAGATTATATTTGTGAATGACTATTGTTATATTGATAATAGTTTTATTATATTTATGTAATAATTTAGTTATATTTGTCTTCAATATTGACCAGCTATTTTAGAAATTAATAAAAAATAGTTTCAAGGAAGCCTAAGTTAATTGGTTGACCAATAAAACGAGTTAGGCCAACACTTTGGGTCAATTAGTCTAAGGCCTAGATATATTAAAGGTTTAGTTTTAGGGTGGAACAAGTTCCTCGATAATCACGAGTATTTTGTATATCTTTTACGTATCATTTACATATAAATAATGTCATTCTCAGGAGAAATTATTACGTGTGAACGTCAAAAGTGTTCGGACGTGAATGAGGAGGCGCCACCTCACACAATGCACATTACATTGCATGACTTAGCGCCTTCTCATTCACGTCCAGATGCGTTTGACATCTGCACATTATAATCTCTCTATTCTCATGCACTCTTGCTACTTAATAAATTCCATGTGGTAATTTCAACCTGCCACTCCAGGATCAAATTCCTCACTACTAACGGCATCATGAAGAATTGAAGATCTTGATAAACTTCTACCTTAACACAATATAGGAGCAGTGGATCAACCCATCAAAGTTTGTTGAGCGATAGCTGATGGACAGCACCCAAATATCTTTTTTAATGAACACAAAAGTTTATATGTTATACATCTAATCAATTTTAAGAGTATGTTAAGAATAACTTTTTTAATACTTTGCTCTACAAATTGTATTCATAATTTTTATTTGACTATTGTCAATTTTTTTTTCTAAAAAGTTACTTTAACATCAGCTTTAAATATTAATTTCCAGGTGTGGAACCACGGTCACCTGCAAGACAAAGATGGAGAAGAGGAAATAGAGCAGAGATAGAGTAGCGTCAGGGAGAGAGCGAAGCAGGAGAAGAAGAAGAAAAAGAGGAATAAGAAGAAGAAGAAGAAGACATTCAGAGAGGGAACTGGATTCATTCCAGGACTTATGTCTTAATTCTTCACTAACCTTCTCTTCTCTGTATGGAGCTATATACTCCAGGTAGCATGAAACAAAAAAAGGTAAGAGTAATTAAAAGAGCCTGATACGGCTTACTGTAATAAAACGAAAAGTGTAAAAGTAAGCTATTGGGTAGTAGTGGTATAGCGTAGGTCCGTTAGTGGCAGTAGGGGTATGGTGTTCCGCTGGACTCGGATTAGCTCACATCAGGTCTCCCCGCCCTTCGAAGATTCCTCACCTGAGGAAACATTTTGAACTTCACTAGTGTCGGCGGGATGATACGGAACAAGATCAGCCACATTGAAGGTAGACGGTGTCAAAAATTCTGGTGGGAGATCAACAACATAAGCATTATTGTTGACGCGCCATAAGATTGGAACGGGTCCGATTCTCTGGGGGCTTAGCTTCGAATAAGTGCCAGGCTGAAATCGTTCCTTGCGGAGTCTGACCATCACCAAATCTCCTGGGTTAAAGATTTGCTCTCGTCGGTGTTGGTCGGCTGCTTGTTTATAGTGGGTGTTGGACACTGCCAGCCGGTCCTTGACCTCACTTAGCATCTTCGTATATTTCTCGCCTGTGCTCGCTGCGGTTTTGCTTCTGCAATTCGGTAATACCGCAATATCTACCACATGATTTGGAACTTTTGTATAAACTATAATGAATGGGTATTGACCGGTATTAGCTGTTGAATTATAAGCAAATTCGGCTTGGCCAAGGTAATCATCCAATTGTTTCGGCTGCTCATGAGCTATACACCGCAGTATACTTCCCAAGGAACGGTTGACGACTTCAGTTTGGCCGTCGGATTGAGGGTGATACGCCGAGCTCAACTTGATATATGTTTTCAGTCGTTTCCATAGCTCCCGCCAGAAATGGCTTACGAATTTGACATCTCTATCCGACGTGATGCTCCGTGATAGCCCATGTAAGCAGACTATTTCTTTGAAGAACAGAATGACAACATTCAGGGCATCGAAGGTCTTCTTGCAAGCGAGGAAGTGTGCCATCTTCGAAAACCGGTCAACTACGACTAGTATGGAATCTGCTCCGTGCTTCATTTTCGGTAAACCGAGAACGAAGTCCATACTGATGTCTTCCCAAATTGAATTGGGAATAGGCAACGGTGTGTATAGACATGTGTTTTGCCCATTCCCTTTATACAATTGACAGATCGGACATCGTTCTACAAAAAAAACCAACGTCTCGTCGCAAATTTTGCCAATAGAACCTGCTCTGCATTAACTCCAGCGTCTTCGCTTTGCTTACATGAGCGGCTAAGCCTCCACTGTGCATCTCTTGGATCAAATGTTCCCTCCAGGAAGACTGAGGGATGCATAAAACATTGCCTTTGAATAAATAATCATGCCTTATAGAGAAGTCACCAAATGTGGCAGCTGAGTCTTTGGCTAAGGCGTTCCATGGCTCAGAGAAGTCTTCATCAGTTTGATATAATTCAGTGAGGCAATGCAGTCCTTTCAAATCTGTTTGGAGTCTCAGCACTAGAGCCGTCTGCTATTTTATGCTTATGCTTCAACACAAAAGTAAATCGCTGCAGAAATGTTATCCATCATGCGTGCATTCGGTTGATGGCTTTCTGGCTATTAATAAACTGCAAGGCATGGTTATCACTGCTCAATACAAAATCCTGGTGAATCAAGTAGTGTTCCCACTGCTTCAAGGATCTCATTACGGCGTACAGTTCCTGCTCGTAGGCTGACCAATTCTGCCGGGCTTGACTTAGTTTTTCGCTGAAAAATTCAAGTGGTCGATCCTCCTGTGATAGCACCGCACCAATTCCAATTGCTGAAGCATCTGTATCTACATGGAACGGTTTATTGAAATCTGGGATTGCAAGAACAGGGGCGGAACTCAAAGCTGCTTTAATGTTGTCAAAACTGAGTTGTTGAGCATGATCCCACAGAAATGATTTGGACTTGAGGCAGTCAGTGAGCGGAGAAATAACTATACTGAAACCCCGAATGAATCGTCGATAAAAATTCGCAAGTCTGATGAAGCTGCGTACCTCGGCTATGGACTTGGGACTAGGCCAGTCGGTGATTGCCATAATTTTCTGCAGATCAGTGTGTACTCCTTGGCCCGAAACTATGAACCCCAGGAAATGTACTGAATCTGTAGTGAATACACATTTATGAAAGTTCAAATAAAGTTTGTTTTCCCTTAGAATTTCAAAAATGGAAAGGAGGCGAGTTAGATGATCCTGTAATATCGGGCTATACACGAGGATATCATCAAAATACACGACGCAGCACTTCCCGAGCACTTGTTTGAGGATTTCGTTCATGAGTCTCATGAATGTGGCTAGAGCGTTGCAGAGTACAAATGGCATAACTCGCCATTCATACAAGCCGTCCCACATTTTGAAGGCGGTTTTCCACTCATCTCCTGGTCGGATGCGTACCTGATGGTATCCGCTCCTGAGGTCTAGCTTGGAGAAGACAGTGGCACCTGTGAGCTTGTCGAGCATGTCATCCAGTCAGGGAACGACAAAATGATATTTCGTTGTGATCTTATTGATAGCTCTGTTATCAATACACATATGCCAACTTCCATCTTTTTTTGGCACAATTAGAGCGGGGACGGCGCACGGCCTCAGGCTGGGCTGGATCAAACCTTTATGTAGCAACTCTTCAACTATTTCTTGTAATGCGAGATGTTCTTGGGGACTCATTCGGTAATGTGGTAGGTGAGTAGATTAGCGCCCGGCTGAAGTTCAATTTGATGCTGTATATTGCATAGTGGTGGCAGCTGGCTAGGGAGTTCGTCTGGCCAGATATCGCGGAATTGGAGCAGGAGTTCTTGCACCTGGCCAGGTAATTATGTGAAATCATCACTGGAAATAGGGGAATTGACTACTAGTGCAAACATAGTAGAGGATTCCTTCCATGACTGGAATTCCTTCCATGACTGGACAATGCTCTGCCCCGAAATGACATACATCGCTGCCTTCTCCGGTGATGCTGGTGTGCTTTCACTTGGTCGTTGGGGTAGCAACCGAATCTTGCGGTTCTTCCACTCAAAGGAGTAGGTATTCAAGCGGCCATCATATGTTGCTCCGACATCAAATTGCCAAGGTCTTCCCAAAATAATGTGACATACGTCCATTTCCAGGACATCGCACACTACTTCACATACATAGCTCTTACCAATGGTGAAGGTTACTCTGCACATTTCGGATACCAAAATCTCCACTCCACGTTTTACCCAACTAATTTTGTATGGCTGCGGATTCTTCGTCGTCTTCAATTGCAGTTTCTGAACTACAGCCCGGGAGATGATATTTTCGGTACAACCACTGTCAATCAACATATCACAGAGCTTTTCATTGATCGTGCATTGCGTGCGAAAAATGGCATGACGATGGGAATTGATAGCCTGCTGGGGAGCTAATAGCAATTTTTCTAAAATGCAGACTAACTGTTCTCCTTCATCTGCTTGTAATTCTTCAAAATCTTGTTCGTTTACCGCTTCAGCCAGTTGGTGTTCACCCTCTTGTTCGCCATCCGCTACGTATAACTGTTGACGATTGGGACACTCATTGGATTTATGTTCTGGTTGGAAGCACCGGTAGCATTTGAATGTTGAAGGCTTGACATAAGGATTGCTGTCCTTGGGTGGAACTCTCGGCCTTTGAGCTGGTGTCACCGCCTGCTTGGGTTCAGCACCAAGTATACCTACTCCTTGTAATTGAACTGTAGTTTTATTGCTGCTGCCCGCAGTTTGTTTGTTCATTTCTTGATTCAAGTCAGCCATGTAACGAGGGAAGCTCCGTCCCTTTGGCTTACGGTTAAGTTGTCCCTCCGCCTTGAACGCGTAATTGACATCTTCTTACACTGTCCATACCAAATTTAATTCAAGTTTATCTTGAATATTTTCCTTCAATCCTCCAATGTAGCGGGCTGTCAGTTGATTTTCCGATTCATTCAGGTTATTGCGTGCACTGAGCCTGTAAAATTCTTCAGTGTACTCACTCACTGATCTTCCTCCCTGGGTGCAATGTTGATATTACAAATATAGCATTTGCTCAAAGTCATTCTGGAGGAAGTGTAAAGGCTGTTTCTCCCAGGATCGTTCGGGACGATCAGGACGATCTGTACAGAATTGTGAAGAATCTGTCTGTTCGTCTGTACGAACCTGGAAGAGTCGGGACGAACAGTCGGGACGAACCAACCCGAGGGTTTCGTCCCGGGACGACGAAATTGGAATTTAATTTCGTCTAGACGATCTGTGTATATGGGAGATCATCCCAGGATGAACAGGACATCGTCCGGGACGATCCTGTGTATTAAATATCTTAATAGTGCCGATTTTGAAGAGAGAGAAAGCCCAGGAAAGAGAAAAACGAAGGAAAAAGAGGAAAAGTGGATTTTTGGGCGACTTCCGTCCGTTTTCGTCCGTCACCGTAGTTGGGAAAGTTGACCGACTCGAGGTAAGGCACATTCCGCCTTTCTCAATTTTCAGAAACGAGAATTTTGATGAATTTTCTATTCCGGATTTTGTTTCCGTTAGCGAATTTATGGTATTATTTTCTTCTGACAAAGGTTTTACCGCGTAACTTTTGGTATGTTTCTGAGATGATAATTGTGCACGTTTTGAGTATTTTCTGGAAGATTTTTACCTGATATTTTGAATTCTATGGCGTTTTAATTGGATTGCGAATTATCATGATGTTAAAAAAATATTATGTCAGTATAATGAAAGTTTTATAATATTGTTGTGGATATTCTATGATAATTTGGTAAATTTCTGAATCTATGATTTTTTTGTGTAAATTCCGTATACCGCCGTTATGCCGCTGAAATTTCGTACGAATTCTGATTTTTCTGAATTGATTCCTTGAATGAATTGAAGTGTTTGTGTGCTATCAAAAGGGAGTTATAAGGAGCCAGGATCCTTTGGGATTCTGTAAGTGTCAGGGAAATTTGATATGAGCTCTGAAATCTGAAAATAAGTTATGTTCTGGAATTCCACAAATATCTGTTATGTTCTCGTGCTATAATCTGTTATGTTCTGGTGCTATAAGCACAAAGGGAGATATAAAGGGACAGAATCTGTTGAGATTCTGTAAGTGTCAGGAAAGGGAGACATAAGGGGCCAGAATCCGTCAAGATTCTGTAAGAGTCAGGGAAGGGAGACATAAGAGGTCAGAATCCGTAGAGATTCTGTAAGGGTCTGAAAATCTGAAATCTATTATGTGACTTATCTGATCTGTTTTATGAATTATCCGATATACGATTTCTGATTTCTATACGATTCTGGTTGAATCTGATATGAATTATCTGATATGAACTATATTATATGAATTATCTGATATGAATGTGATTTTATCTGAACTCTGATTTCGGTACGATTCTGGTTATTCCGTACGATTCTGTATGCTCTATGACTTGAAAGCTTTATGATATCTGTTATGAACTCTGATTCGACATGACTTCAGTTTTCTGTATTAGTTGTTTGATTTATGATTGATCAAGTATCTGTTCTATGATTTTCGTACGGCTATTTCTGAAGTGAATTTCTGATGATTTTGATTAGCGAGTGATATCTTGCTGAGCTGTTAGCTCATCCTTGTTTTCTACGTGGTTTTCAGGTTCTGGGAAAGGGAATGAGGTCTTGGATTAGCAGTTCAGAGTCTGATCTGATATTAGGTATTTTGTACTTTTAATTTTTGTACAGTCATGGCTTATCTGTTCTATTATGTTCTTTCTGTCTGTAAGCCATGTACTGTATCTGTATATGATTATTTTGATGAAAAAAAAGATAGATGAACTGTTCTGTGTTTGGATGTTTATAGTAGCTCTGTGTTCTGTATATGTAATATTTGGAAGAAAGTTCTGAAGCAAATTCCAAAACTAGATCCTGGATTTCAAGTTTAAGTTCCGTCATGGCCCGATGCGAGCAGGATCCGTCCCGATCGGGTTGGGTCGTGACACGAAGTGTCCACGCAATAGTCGTTTCATACGAAACCAGCTGGTTATGCCCCCTTTTCCTTCATGCCTTCGTGCTTGAAGCAGCTGTGCCCACCAAGCTCCAGCTCCCCCCTTTAATCTACAGGCTACATATTTTACTTGTTTCTCTGGAGCAATCTCCATATAATCAAAGAAAGCTTCTACCGAACGTTCCCAATCGAGGTATTCCTCAATGTTCATCTGGCCCTCAAAAAAAGAGATGTCTAATTTTATACGGAATTCACCAGATTGACGATTAGGCACTGGAAGTCGCCTAGGGGGATTGTGGTAATTCGGGTGTGTATCCACTTCGGATTCAGATTCACCCATTGGATGAAATTCTTCTTCCCCATCCGAATCAGATGGTATTGCCGCCACTACCGGAGTATGCCGTCGGCGATGTGGTCTCGGTGTTACGGGGGAGATTGGTCTGCCTCCCTCCGGCAATGCTCTGGTCGTTCCCAACGATCGAATGTCGTTTCGCACCTCTGTGGAAAATCGGAAGAACTCATTAGTCAATACCTCCAATTGGCACGCTATATTATTCTGAGCCTTCCAGAGTGCATCCAAGCTCCAATCATCCCCGACGATTGGCCGTTTGCTTCGTTCTGCCATGGCTGCTCGTTTTCGAGCTTTGATACCAATATGGTGTGGAACCACGGTCACCTGCAAGACAAAGATGGAGAAGAGGAAATAGAGCAGAGATAGAGTAGCGTCAGGGAGAGAGCGAATCAGGAGAAGAAGAAGAAGAAGAAGAGGAATCAGAAGAAGAAGAAGACATTCAGAGAGGGAACTGGATTCATTCCAGGACTTGTGTATTAATTCTTCACTAACCTTCTCTTCTCTGTATGGAGCTATATACTCCATGTAGCATGAAACAAAAAGGTAAGAGTAATTAAAAGAGCCTGATACGGCTTACTGTAATAAAACGAAAAGTGTAAAAGTAAGCTATTGGGTAGTAGTGGTATAGCGTAGGTCCGTTAGAAGCAGTAGGGGTATGGTGTTCCGCTAGACTCGGATTAGCTCACATCATTTCCCTATAATAATTTTATAATCAACTTTATAAAAAACTCACCTTCCATCATTGTGCATTAACTAGAATTGATTGACATTAATGCGTTTTGTTTGGGATGGCTTTTTTACTATTTTCTAAATCAATTTTTCTGTAAAAAGAAAAATTAATTAATTTTTTTTGTAATAGAAAACTACTTTATAAAAATTAAAAATGCCGCCTCAGAGGAAGCCTAAGGCTTCGTTTCGAACAACTTTTTTATTGATTCTTAAAGTAGCTTTCTAGTAAAAAATTAAAATTTTTTATACTAAAGAACTCTTTTAAGAAGCAATAAGAAAGATGTCTCAAACAAAACCTAAGTGATGTATATATTGACATTCTCAAAATATATCAACAATATTTAAAAAAAAAATTACAATCCTAAATCTGTTTACCACCTCAGAATTTGTAAATACTAATGAATTCAGAATCTTATTTCAAGCATATCAAAAATCCTAAATCTTATTTCAAGCATATCAGAATCCTAAATCTGTTTACCACCTCAAAATTTAGTAATTTACACTTATCTGAAACGGCTGGCACATCAGATTGCTTTGCCCCGCTCGCAAGCCCAGAGCCATAGGCCCATAGAATGCAGGAGCTATGGCAAGTTTAAATGGCGATTACAGTCGAAGTGTTAGCGCAACGGCCTTCTTGCCGTCACCTATTTCACCAGTACCACCCAAATGAGCATCTTCATCCGAAATAAACCGCCCCCAAAACCAATGCGCCTTCCAAACCACCGCCATTTCCTCAATCGGAACCCCCTTCGTCTCCGGCAGGAAGAAGACGACAAAGCCAGTCATGATCAACACCCATCCTCCAAAAAAGTAGAACAGCGCGAACTTCAGACTGCAAAGAAGAGCAAGGAAAGCCTGTGCGATGGCGAAGGTGAAAATCATGCTTACGGAAACTGTAATGCTGAGGCCTGCCGATCGAATCACCAGTGGGAAACTCTCGGAGACCACTAGCAACCCAACCGGCCCCCAAGACCAGGCGAACCCGGCTACATAGATGCAGATGAAGACCACTACGGTGAAGGCGTAAGCGCGGGAGATGTCACCGGCACCGGAAATCCCGAACATGACGGCGATCAGCGTGCCGACGGTAATCTGCAGGCGATAGGGCTGGCGATTACTCAGCTATAAACTAGCTAGCTAGAACATCGCATGAATATTAATTGAATGCACTTATAAAAGAGAAAAAATAAATTTTTATGATATCTTAACTTTTGATACCCTGAAATCTATAAATTAACTTAAAAAAAATTAGTTTAATACATAAATAGTAAAATTTATAAATGTAAATTTTTAATCCATCATAATTATTCTTTTGAAAGCCCAAAAACCTGTCTTACAATACATATATCTTTTTAAAAATTAACTTTACTATAATAAATATGGACAAATATAACATTTTATATTAAATATATAATAATTTTTTAGTAGAAATTTTTTAATTTTTTTTATTAAAAAACTGTTTTAAGAAGCATTAATAAAGACGCCTCAAATGAAGCTTTAATTAGGATTATGATAAGCTCCTTTTATAATTTGACAAATACAATATGTGAAAGCATATTTATTATATTTGAAAATATTTTTTCTATTAAATGATTTTGAGTTGAGTTGGATTAATTTTCAGTTAATTATTCTTTAGTTGAAAAATTTTGATTATATTTTAGAATAAAACGTTGACAAGTTTTTTCCGTTAAAAGAAAATAAATTATGGTAAAAATTACTTCCAACCTGGCAAGCGAGCATCTGGAAGCAAAAGCGCCCGCCGCCCAACGCGATCAACAGTGAAGCTCGATACAAACGTCGCCAAAACGTTCACCAAGCCGGTGATGACGGCGGACATGAGCGCCGCGTTGCTTCCGAATCCGATGGTTTTGAACAAAACGGGAGCGTAAAACATGATCACATTAATGCCGGTCAGTTGCTGGAAAAACGGGATTAAGACGGCCATCGTGAGCTGCGGACGGTAGCGGCGCTGGGCGATGCTTCGCCATGGATTTTTCACAGCCTTCGACTCCTCACCGGCTGCCTTTATGTCGGCGAACTCCTTTTGTATGTCGTCGGTGCCACGGATTCGGCGGAGTATGGATCGGGCTTGGTCTTCGTGGCCGCGCTCGATGAGAGAGTTCGGGGTATCGGGGAGGAAGAGGGAGCCGGCGGTGAAGACGGCGGCGGGGACCGCGGCGAGGGCGAGGCTGACGCGCCAGCCCCAACCGCCTTTGATCTTGGCGGTCTGGTAGTTGATGAGGTTTGCGGCGAGGATGCCGATTGTGATCATGAGCTGGAAGCCGATGTTTAGCATGCCACGGAGGCTCGCCGGTGCCATTTCAACAAGGTAAATTATCGCAGACTGAAATTTTGAAGCAGTTAACAGGGCATTTGCGTCATATGTAAAAACTTTCATTAATTCTTTGTAATTTTCTAAGAGAGCGAACAAATCGATCGATTGGATTGTTGGTTCACATAACACATTTTTCATAAATCTACTGATTTGATTTATTTAAATTTAAAATTATAGAAAAGTCAAAAGTCAATGCCTCTATAATTTAATCAAACTGAATATACTAATTTAAAACGAACCTAATCATTGCAAATTATTATTATTTTTTTGACTAAAAATTGAACTGAAAACACTAATTTAAATCTAAGCAAACATTCTCAAGGCTTTTTTTTTTTTTTTTTCTCAAGGTTTTTTTTTTTTTTTTTGGTTTTTCAATTTAGTTTTGACCGTTTTGATTTCGTTGTTTGCTTTTTTTAGATCGGATCAATCTCAGATCATTTGGAACTAACCGGAACCTGAGCCACCACTAATTTTTCCTCGCTTTTAATTCGTAAATCCTAAAACAAATTTCTTACAAAAAATTTTAAGGAGATTTTATCTAAATTTATTCAATCATTGAGATTTATATTTCATATACAAACATCAGCAACAAAGAACTTATGAATGTAATTATTGAAGATCCAAATCCCCGAAAACAATACGAATTAACAGAAGCTATAATGTTTTTAAAGAATTACTTATAAGTTATATCGAGTAATTTCACCTGCGCCGTGAAACCGACGCCGACGCCGAGCAGAATGCGACCGATGATAAGCATAGCAACGTTCATCGCAGCGCCGTTGAGTGCGGCGCCGACGAGAAAAATGGTGCCGCCGGTGAACATGGACCACTTCCGGCCGAATACTCGAGTAATCCCCGATGCGAAGAAAGAAGCGATGAGCGCCGCTAGATACAGAGATGATGTGAACATGGTCAGAACCTGGGAGTCAAACTTGCAGTATTGATTTGTGCTCGTCTCCCCCTTCTCCTTACGGTACACCGTCGGGAAAAATTTTATCAGAAATGAATCCATCGATGTCACCCCACCTTCAATCCATCACCCAATTAGACTCCATAATCGAAGCATGGAGAGCATCTGAGGTCGATTAAGTTTTACCTGATATGCCGACGTCGTAGCCGAAAAGGAGGCCGCCGGTGGCTGCCATGAGGCAAGTGAGGAAGACGTGGATCGTTATCTTCCCGGGATAATGTTTTCCGTCGCGGACGTGGTTAATAATTGCTCCTTCGGCCATCGCTGCAAAAGCCCCAAATTGGACTTAGAACGGAGAGAGAGAGAGAGATTGGGATTGTGGAGCAAGAGTGACATTTGACGATAAAAGACAAAAAAAAAAGAGCTCTAGCTTCCCGATCATTTCAGTTTTGCGCATTTTATATAAAAAAAAACTGTTTAAGATTAAATTAACTTAAAAAGTTGGTTATTAAAAGACTTTAAAAAATAATAAGTACGGAACTTAATTATTTAGTTTTAATAGAAGCTGAAATTTCATTATCCAATTTCTACTTTAATCATAATTTTAAAAGAAATTGGATTTTACTTCTCTTCTCTTGTTTCTATAAATTCTTAATTTTTCTCTTAAATCTTATTTTTTTTATTTTTTTTATTTGAGAAGAAACGAGAATAAAAAATTAGTTTTTTCAAAAACGGACTAAGAAAATCTGATTTCTTAAGAAACCGAATTTCCATTTTAAATTCTTAAGAAATTCTGATTTTCTATTTTAATTTAAAATGAAAATTCAGTTTCTTAATATCCGGTTTCGGATTTCTTAAAAAACTGGATTTTCTTAGTACGATTTCTTACCGGTTTATTCTCAAATTCGAAAATAAAAAAAAAATAAAATTAAGATATCATATAAAAAATTAAATTAAGATATCCGAGCCCAAATGGGTCCAAATCAAGGACTCGAAGCGTCGTTGGAAGGTTCAAACCGTAATTTGAGTTACTAAATGGTCTCCGATTTTAACGAGCTTATACTCAAATCGAGCGGCTCAACGAGACGAATCCAACGAGACCAAGATCGCCGAATTCCGACATCATTAAGGTCTCCAAAAGTCCAACAAACGGTGCACGATCGAATGGTTCAATATCGGCCGTCCATTCAAACCAATCCCTATTCGCCCCAGATCTCACACCTATTTACAAGCCATGCCACTCCAGAAAAACTATAAATAGAGCCCTCATTCTTCACAAAGGGACTCAAGTTAAGAGAGAGAAGAAGAAGGGAAGAAGAAGAGAAAGGGGAAAAGGAGAATCCTCTCCTCCTCGACCACCGCCGGAGCTCTTCCCGTCGTCTGAATACGCCGGAACTCTGCCTGATTTTTGGGAAACGGCAGGATTCTGCAAAACTTTGTAAATTTGCTTCAAGTTGTAATATGATCGTCCCGATTTGTGGGACGAATCAGTTTTTTGCAATTTATGAAAACACTAGTGGAACTTTTCAGCTGGGCGTGGCTCCGTGGTTTTTTCCCTCTTCTGGGTTTTCCACGTAAAAATCTTAGTGTTCATTTTTTTTGTTTGTGTGCTGAATATTCGTGCAACGCTCGGACGTGAATTTCTAAACTCTACCGCCGCGCATATTCTAGCCCGCAACAATAAATTTTTTTTTTTTAATTTTTTTAGTTGATAGTCAAAAATTTTAACCAACAAATCAAACTAAGATGATGTATTTTTTATGCTCAGATCAGTTCAAGACTTTGATGCTCATAAATGTCATAAACAATTATCAACAAAACAGGAAATTGCATCGATAACCTTTAAAACGTATTTAATCTGTAATAAAATATCTAAATTAAAAATTTATTATGAATTTTAATATTTGAATGACAAATTAAAATATTAAAATTAAAGATAACTAAATGTTTATTTTATAAGGAGGTTTTTACATACATAATACTTAAAATTATGTTATTTACTCATCTAGCACATAAACTTACATATTTACACACATACCACTAAAAAGCTCTTTGATTTTCTTAAATACCACTTTGTTTCCTCTACGTGAAAACTCGCCTGATACCCTTGTTTGCACCCGAAACTCGTCTTCCTTCGGTGTTTGCTCATCTTCTCCGCATCTTTGTTCCCGTCGAAACGCAGCCCACCGTTCCCGTCGGAGTCTCCCGTCTAGCCTCCTGTCCATTTTGCTTCTGAAACAGAACAAATTTAAGCTTTTTAAAACTCGTAACTGAAGCAGATAAGGAAGTTTATGGCCGGTGTTTGTGAGATTTAAAGGTATGAACCCTAAAAACATAAAAAATAAAGAAATCGATATTCTTACATATAACTAAAAAAAATCATTGAAACAAATCGATAATTTTACATGTAAGAATTTCTTCATTTGGAACCAGAACAAATTTTTTTGGGAAATTCTACACATATCCAAGTTTGAGAAATTCTATTGTGGTTTCAGGTTAAATGAAAGCTTGCAAATAACAAATGAAGAAATTGAAACTGTAAACTGAGTTCCAAATGCAGGTATCCAAATTTCAAATCGATATTCTTACATATAACTAAAAAAAATCATTGAAAACCCTAGACGGAAATATTTGGGTTTCATTTTGCAAACCAAGGAGAAGAAATGGAGAATACGAACATCATACCTAAGCGAATAAATGTAGAAGACGAAATGAAGATGCCGAGCAAAGAGAGAATCCTATATGGAGAAATGGGGACTTAGCGAGCGAGCAAAGTATCAGACAAGATTTTCACGGATAGTAAGCTGAGTGGTATGTATGTAAATTGGTAAATTTAAGTATTAGATGAGTAAAAACTATATAGTTTAAGTGTTATGTATGTAAAAACCTCTTTTATAAATAGCTAAATTTGAGTGTTATATATATAATTATATTTAATAAAAAGTAATCATATGAAAGCATTAATTAAAATATCTGATAATAAAAATTTAATTAAATATTAATAATATATTTTTTAATTTTGATATAGGAATTTGTGTCGATATTTGATCTCAATAATTTCAATTAAGTAATATTTTACTATTCTAAAATTTTAATTAAAATTTATTTTTGAATTACATGTTTAACATATAAATGTCACAATTAACTTGAATAACATTCAAATATTAAAAAAAAGCAAAATTTACTTTTTTTTTAAGTCAATAAATTCTAAATATTTTAGATTGCAACTTGCCTTATGTCAACATCATTTAAGGAGATAAGCCTACATGCTTGAACTAAAAATCAGCCTTAGGCCTCTACTCCAAAATAATAATTGTGCCTTCTATAATTGCTCTCATTGACTTATAGGCATTGCTTTCAAAACCCTCTCTTCATATCCTTCCAATATGGTAACCTTCTAATGGTCATTTTATCTAACTATTGGTAGAAGAAGAGAACTCCCTAATATACATTTTTTTCTCATTAACAAGTTGCAACTTCAACTCATTTAGGTTCGATTTGGGACAATTTTTCTATTAAATCGGTTTTTTAGTACAAATATTTTTAATTAAAAAAAATTTGTACTTAAAAACTGCTTCAAAAGGCAGTAAGAAAGCTTTCTCAAACGAAACCTAGACTGAGAAGAAGGGAATGCAACTTTCATAGAAATAAGATTAAGCTTAATCAATAAAACTCCCAATTTCAAAAGTTAAGGCCTTACAATGATATCCTTTTAGGTTTGATTGTGTTGGTATTCTAAATAAATAAAAATCAAACAAAATATTACTAATAGCAAAATTTTGCTCCTTACAAAATAAAGCCTTAAAGTGGATGTAGCATTTTACCCATAACAATAGTCATACCAATTTTGCAAAATTCTAGCATACATCTTTATTGATCACTCAAAGAAATCCCCACACAAGCAATATATACTAAATTCCTCATTGTTGCGTCTTAGAATATTCGCGGCGGTAAAGAAATAATATAAAGTTTAACGTCTTAGCTTAGTATGAAGGTCCAACACACCAACAGATGAAAGAGAGGGAACATTATTTATAAGAGACACCAGAGATTTTTGCGTGAAAAATCCTGAAAAAATGGGAAAAACCATAGGACCATACCCAATTTGAACGAATCCACTAGTATATGCATTTGATTACAAATGAGGTCCTTCCTTAGGGGAAAGTCTTGACTTGATGTAACAAATATACATCAAATAGATTGCATTACATTGTGGAAATTGGAAGAATCATAATTAATATGTTTGTTTGGTCGGTAGAACCATAGTCGGCTGGCGACGGAGGTCGGAAAGACCGTATTCTGGTGAAGGTTGTTAGAAGGCTCATAGTTAGCGAGCGATGAAAGTAGGAAAGACCATTGTCGAGTGACGGAGGTGGAAAGGACTGTAGCCGGCGGGCGATGGAGGTTGGAAAGATCGTAGTCGGATGAGGGTGGCCGAAAGGACCGTAGCTCGTGGATGATAGCGGTCGGAAAGATAAGATCATCACTATCTAGTGACAGAGGTTGGAAGGACCGTAGTCGGCTGGTGATGGAGGTCAGAAGTCCAACAATGGGTAAAAGTTTGGTGTCATGCAGAAGTTTAATGGTAGACAGAAGTCCGACTGCAGATAAAAGTCTGGCGATTGGTAGAAGTCCGGCGAGGGGAAGAAGTCCGTCGATGGGTGGATGTCCGACGGAAGGTAGAAATTCGGCGACGAGCGGAAGTCTGGCATCGTATAGAAGTCCAATGGAAGTCTGGCGACTTGTAGAAGTTTGACAATGGCGGAAGTTTGGCTTCGTGTAGAAGTCCGGTGATGGACAAAAGTCCGGTGATGGGAGGAAGTTTGGCGTTGCGTAGAAGTCCGAAGACGGGCAGAAATCCAACGTCATGTAGAAATCCGGAGACGGGCAGAAATCCGATGTCAGGTAAAAGTCCGATGAAAGTCCTACGACTGGCAGAAGTCCGACGACTAAAGGAAGTCCGATGTCAGGTAGTAATTCGATGATGAGTGGAAGTCTAGCGTCGCATAGAAGTTCGACAAAAGTCCAACAACTAGCAAAAGTCTGACGGGCAGAAGTCTGGCGACGGGCGAAAGTCCAGCTTTGGGTAGAAGTTTTGTGATGGACAGAAGTATGACGACGTGCAAAAATTTCATGATGGGTGGAAGTCCGGCATTGGGTAGAAATTCGGCGACGAGCGGAAGTCTGTTGTTGGGTAGAAATCCGACAATAGGTAGAAGTTCAACGTTAGGTAGAAATCCGACGACGGATAGAAGTCCGACTTTGGGTAGAAATCTGGCGATGGGTGAAAGTTTTGTGTTGCTCGGTGGCCAGTAGGTGGTCGAGGAGGAGTTTGGTGATAAGAGAACTCTTCATTCTCTTCTTGCTTGGGCCTCCTTTTCCTCTCCCAAATGAAAAATGATGGGTATATAAGTATATTTATAGTTTTCTGAGAGTGGCATGGCTAGTAAATTAAAGGAAGATCAAGGGTACTTTGGGAGTGGTTTGAATGGACGGCCGATATTGATCCCCATGATCATAGACCATTCACTAGACATTTGAATGTTTAAATGATATCAAAATTTGGCAATCTTGGGCTCGTTGGATTTGTCTCGTCGAGCCGCTCAATTTGACTATAAGCATGTCATGTTTGGAAATTATTTGGTCATCCAAATTATGATTTGAACCTTCCAAATGTGCTTCGGGTCTTTTATTTGGACCCATTGTATCTTGGATTGGATTGAATTTGGTGTCATTGGGTTCGTATTTTTGAAACATTTAGTTCGACTATAAGTTTGCTAAAATCGAAGTTCATATGGTCTCCGTTTGAATTTTGAAAGTTTACAACTTAATTTTGCCTTGAGATTCGTGCCTGGTCGAGATAATTTTTGATGATATATCACTCATGTAGCTTTCTCCTCTTTCTCTTTAAGATTTTCTTCCTTCTTAAAAAGAGCTAGTATGCGAGCTATATGTACATTATGATGGGAAACATACTTCATAAGAGGAGCACAAACTAACAACAAAGAATATGCATACCAATTAAAATCCTAGAGGAAAGAGTTTCTGGCCATAGTACAACTAACGTTCTTTTTTTAATTTTATATTCATGAAATCTCAATTTTGCACGTCAAAGAAACAAAATGAAAGAGGGCTACATGGAAGAAAATTTTGCTCACTTGCTTCCAAAATACTAGACGTAAGAAAAAGAAATAGAAATAGAGATGAATCCTTCATCCTTGTCATCATCACCCTTTGCTAGTGGTCGTCACGACTAGATAAATGCTTAATTATTGCTTGACGTTGAGGTTCACAAAATCATAGAAGCTAGTTTTCAGGTTCGAATTCGGTTTTGCAAATGGGTCGCTAATATGAATTTGGATACAACCTATTGGATTATCGGATTGATCCGACTCGACACGACCACTGCAACCGCTCTAGAAAGATGAGGCAGCATTGGCGACGGCAAGTCGGCGAAGGAGGCATTATCGTGTTGGACGCGAGATGGCTAGGCGAGGCAGCGTTGACGACAAGCGGGCAGAAGTGACGTGGGCGGGTTGGCACGACGAGCTGGTAGGTGCGGGCAACGCAGGTCAATTTGGGTTATTTTCGGGTTTCCGGGTCAACTCAAATTCGACCCGATTTTTGAAGCGGATATATTTGTTGAACCCGAACCCAACCCATTTCTCAAATGAGTTGACCCTAGCCCGAAATTTTTGGGTCGGATTCGAGTCAGATTTTCGAGTCTTGTCAAATATTGATACCAGATTTTCTGGTCGTGTCAAATATTGACACCCCTAATTGTCACACACCGACTAATAACATGTAAACTCTCATTCTCTTACTCACGAGTTGTAAACCAAACACTCAAGATGTGCTACCACCAATATTCACAACACTAAGTGAGCTCAAGAGTGGAGAAGATGAAGTGTAGAAAATGGAGAATCTAGAGAGGCAAACACAAAAAAACCCTAAGTTATTGTGTGTTAACTCACCAAGCACAAATCACAATTGGTATCTTCACAAATCAATCTGATCCACGAGATTTACTTTTATTGATAAGTGGCTCATGATTCTAGCTTAAGCTAGCTCATGAGTTGGTTTGGCTAACTTTCACCCTTAATAAAGAAGGTGCAAGACAAGTTTTTATTAAAAAATAAAATTATAAATATTAAGAACAAATAATTTTTTGTATTATTAACAGATAAAATTTATATTTAAAATGAACTAAAATAAATAAAATATATATTTAATTATTATTATTTAAGGGAAAATTGAATTTATATGCCCAAAGTTGAAGAAATATGCTTGTAGTTTTATTTCTTGGAGAAATATAATTGAAAGTTTTTTTTTCGAACCCATGTATCTTGGTATTTGACCATGTATTACTTTTTCTAGTCTATCATGGCTCAAATTAGTTAAAACACAATTTGAATAAGGTTCAAACAAACTTAATCAAAGTTGAAACCATATATGAGAAAATTTTGAGCCATGATTGAACATTATTTGAACCTTTTTCAAACACTATGATCTGATTAGGTTCTTACATTATATATCGATATATTTTTCAAATCTTCACATTAGAGGACCCTAATCCCTAATTAATGGGTATGATTGAGACTCCATAAAATATGCTCTTTAAGACCATCTAGATTTAAACTACTTTCATCTAGCAATAACTTGTATATTTTGAATTCATAATTATGAGTTGATGAAGTAATCAAATAATTAAATAAAATAATCACCTAACAAAATTGCTTAATCAATTGGCTCT